CTGTGCCCAAGACAAATCTCCCCTTGGGGACAATAAAGTTTATTCTATTCTCCCAGTTTCCTGTGTCTCTTCAGCTGTGTCTGTCCATTAATGGCAAAAAAGCCAAAATAATAATAACCCCCAGAATAATTCAGCGTGCCTGAATGTGCAAAAAACACTGCTTGTTCTTCTTCATACTTATTTCATCTTTTACTTCTTCTGTATGTTTTTTTTTAAGCGTGTATCTACTCCTGTAGCTTTGCCAGCACATACACAAAAAATACATCCAATGATTGATTGTGAGAGGTTTAACTTGCTCTCGTTCCCACAAATTTTCCTCTAAAGACATAATTTGAACATTAAAACAAATAGGAAGATTTGTGCTGGTGCTGGTGTACACATGTAACTCATGTGAATCAAACAGACTTAAACTTTTGGTTCTGGATGACAAGAGGTCCAACCAACTGCCCCATAAGCTCCAATATTAATCAAGAGCAGAAATTTCTGGAGAAAAGCAGACGTGCCTGTTTTTAAAATTGCTGTAATGTTCACATTTATTTACTTTATCCACAAAATGACATATGTAGGTCTGCTGGTCACATCACTGCAACAATATGACCGACAGTTTTTTGAATTACAGTGGCGAGTGGAAGTTTCAGAGCGATCTCAGTCTCTGTCTCACACACCTGATGTTCCTCTGCTCTGGTGAGATTTTTAGCAGTTGAGACCAGCAATACACACACACACACACACACACATAAAGAGTACAGCTGTGTCTCCCATAAAAATAAAAGCCTTAGTGTCTGTATCTGAATGGAGAACATGGCTATAGAGTCCCCCCATAGAGTAACTGTATTTTAACAGGTTTAACACTTGTACATTGCACAAATACAGTAAAAGAACAGTAATTCATACGTTTTATCCCAAAATTCACTACACTGTGAACTGTGAATCTGCAGACTTTTACACATACACACGCATTTGTAATCTTGCCGAATCTTTCTCTCTCTCTGTCTCTCTTAACCTATGCAAACAAAAGTCTAAACCAAAAAATTAGACACTTTATCCTGAGATAAAGTTGAGAATATACTGGGATGCAAGTCTAAACTTGAAATGAGAGGTTTTTGTCTTGAAACTTCAGACCTTGAAATAAGTGTCAAAGCGTACTGGAGGTCCTTTAACAGATGTGTCCCTATTGCTAAACATAACCTCAAATGAGATAAAATTGCTGATAAAGACAAGGGATTTTTTAAAATTTAGTCAAAAGCCTTGAATAGTCAGCACTAGAAAAATCCAATCCACACTCAAAAATTATTGTGTTATTTATTCTTATACGAGGTTATCTCACTTACTTAGAAATAGAGTTTTCCCACACTTTTTGTCACTTTCCACACATCCTGTGCCACCTACAACAGCAGCGCAGTCTGAACTTGCTCTGCCTGTTAAAGTAGGTCACTCAGGAAGTATTTAAAGAGTTGATGTGTCAGGAAACCATTCATGTTGATCAATAGGTCAATGTATCCTGTCCGAGCATGTACCTCGCATCCTGTCAAGGATCTATCCATGAAGACTGGCAACATGGGGATGGAGCTGTGGTTCACTGGAGACAATGACACACCAGCACTGACCTCTGATCCCAAATTATCTAAACTTGCATTTCAATAAGTCTGTGGTCATTAGGGCACTAATATGGATACATTTGAAGACACTGTTTAGACTAAGCAGAACCATTTTAAAAGTCATTTTCTCTTCCTTTATATGCTTATACAGNNCTGTATAAGCATATAAAGGAAGAGGAGAAATTTAAAAAAAATTTTTTAAACTGGTTCTGCTTAGCGCAAACACACCCCAGTGTACAGCTATGTACTATTGATGGGTGGGTACGAATGATGTCTGTCATATGAACTAATTTGCTAAAAGTTGTTTTGCTGGCAAGGTCCTTTTAAAAGCTGCATTTTATTATACATCTTTTATTAACCATTATATTTTTGATGGCAGTTTTTCTAGTTTTTTTCTGCCATTGTCTGGAATAAAATTAATTGAATTTAACTGATGATGCTCTCTGTTTAGTCTTTTGGGCAAAGAAAGGGTCTGTCTCTTCTGGCTTCCTGTGATAGCTCATTTACAGTTTTACTGCGTTCAATCATAAAACACAAGTCTTGTCAATGACTGAATTAATATAGAATAGCAGAGTAATTGAGAGAGTCTTGCACACTGAAACACAACTTAAAGTCCCCCTCCACTCCTAAATATGTTTTTTTTTCTTGTTCCTACAGTTAGATTTTTGATCTTCACTGTGCAGAATGATGTATGGGCAGAGTTTGACACTAGATGGATGTTTTCACATTCATCTGATGAAAGTGAAAAGATTCTCTGAGCGCACTAAAAACATGATTTTAGGGGCGGGGCCTACAAGCGTAACAGTTTGAAAGTCTCATAGTGGTGTAATATAGAAACTTAAAGCCACCAGTTCACATAAACTGAGAAGAGCCTTTCCAGTGAAGTAGGAAACATCTTGCCTGAGGCCTGATGACTCTTCAGGATGTGTCGGAGGATACACAGAGGTCACAGGATTATCATAAGTAAGATTTTAAATGAGGTTGAAGGAGTAGATGCTTTTTTAGGGACTTCTTTTGTGGAAAGAACATATAGACAGACATTATTGTTTCAAGCAGACTGTTTGTATATATGTCTTAATTCATGTCTGGAGGGGGATCTTTAAGCTCTTTAAGGAGATATTTTAGTATAAAAACTGCATCTAATACATCATTAATCCGGCATTCACAAAAAATGTGTCATTAAACGATTCAGAAGAAAATATGGTTTCTGCATGTCAGGCAATTCTTGGCTGGCATAGTGAGAGTCGCTCTGTGTATGTTCTGGTATTCTTCCTGCTGAAGGGTCCTTAACATGTAAACTGACCCCACATCCTGCTCTCCCTGCCTAGGAAGGAAAGAAATGCTGCAACTATACTGACCTCTAGTGGCAAATCTTTGGATTTGAAGGCCAAGCAGCAACGTCCCGTGTCCACCTTATCAGTTTGGCTGTAATGCAGTGAATTCCAGATGTAATGGGTAATGTTCTTGTGATAATCCTGTGACCTCTGTGTATCCTCCACCACGTCCTGAAGAGTCATCAGGCCTTCATGTGTCAAAGTCATGTGTTGGGCTCATTCACACTCATTTAGTGTGGGGGAGAGAATGTCTGGATAAGCACGATTGCACAGACACTGACAAATTGTGAAACAGTGTGTTTTCTTAAAACACACCCGAGAGCAAGACATAGTGAGAAATAATGAGCTCCAGAGAATTCTTGCTTGGGCAGAGCAGTACCATTCATAATTATTATTAATGAATTGTTATTTGTCTGAATGTTTTCCTCATTCCAATATTATAAACTTCTTTTATTCGGTTCTGCTTGAAGCCATTTATCTTCATGTGAATTTGACCATGAATGTGCTAAGGGAAGCAATTAAAAAAGATTTACTGGAAAGTTATGTACTTTCGTAATTTCCAAATTTTGTAATTTGCATAACAATTAGTACAGTGTGTGCAGTGAAACACTACAACTTCCTAAAATGTCCTTCCTAAAAAGGTCCTGCTGTTCACCCACACAGGTGATTTCACTTATTTTGGCTGATCAGAAATGTTCTCAGGTTTGTGAAATGTGTACAGTGTACTATCTTTCCTGTTTCCAAATCACACCACAAAACAAGTGAAGACAAGTACAGGAGGACAATAAAAGGTCAATTATAAAGAGGTAAGACAAACAAGAAACACCGACAGGAATACACTTGTATTTTTTTGATATATCTTTTTATATTATTAGTGGCCTGAATGATTCGTGAAAAAACTCAAACACAAATGAATACAGCTGTAACACATCGTGGGTCAATGATTCTTTAATGAGTTACAAAGACAGGTGGACTTAACCTTTAATTGCACCTACTGCAATGTCATAATATCATACATGTTTCTCTTGTATGTAAGTAAGTAGAACATGGTGACAGCTAATGTACTAATGTAATAATCTGGAAACATCATAACAGAGTGGGTTATGACGTGGACACAACACAGCCTGATATATATTCCCAATTTTCACTCTCACTCTTCTCCTTTTACAAGGAACTAAAATATGATGTTGTCTAAAGTTGTTGTGGAAAGCATTGTGGTTGTCTTTCTTTTTTTTTTCCTTCAAACACAAACCTCACATGTTTCCTATTAAGTGAGTCATACTGAGAGAATGTTGGTACAGGAAACCAGAGGGCTGAGTCGACAAACGGAAAGCAAAAACCCACTTAAACACAAAGGTTTTGGTCTGAGTAACTTACTTACTTTAAACATGTATGCATTCTTAAATGTCAAAAAAAAGAGAAAAGAATTTGTCCGGACTGCTGACTGAAAGGATGTAATGATAGGCATTATGTTAAGTCGACAAAGAGCACTTTGTTCTTAGCAAACCCACGTCACTCTCCCTCTCTTTTTGTTGAGCTCTGTATTTGTGACTCTTACTGGTTATCATTTGAACAAACACTGTAATAGTAGGCCTATCCTGTTTATTTTCTGTATAAAACAGATTCAGACCTAGAAATGGGAGGAGAAATGGGGGAGGTGCTCCAGCAACTTGTAAAACTGCACAGTCTCTCCACTATGTCGATATAAAGGAAGTACAGAATAATCCTCTCTTTATGGCTTTGCATTTTTTATTTTTTTTTTAATCCAATATCTTTCTTCCGTTTGAACTCTTGGTTTTTACTCCGGCCTCGCTCAGGACCAATCAGCTCAGAAAGAGGGTGCTTAACTGTCTCTCTTTTTTGGATGGAAAGTCAGAAGTAGGTGAATCTTTTTTTACACATCTGTAGCTATATAATGATCAGCTGCTGTTGTTATTGTGGAAAAGTTATCTGTTTTCTGCTTGTGTAAGGTGTAAATGTTGATATATCTAATTTAGCTGGTATTATTATTCCATTACTGTATAGAACAGATGTGAACATAGAACTGCGTATTCCAATGTCCATTCCTTAGCCAGTCACTATGTCCACACAAAACAGGGTGAGGCACAAGTGCAATACTGAATACTGAGTGCAATACTGTGGTGGATTTAAGTGCCTCATCAGTGTATGTGGCTCATGTATGTGGCTTTAGGATGGATTTATGATGGGCCCCAGAAAAAGGTTCATGGGCAACAGACTGGCCAGCATACATTGTGGTACTACATTCTTCTGTTTTACAGCACGAGTCCGCTGATGCTGATGTATTGCATGACCAACTAAGCGTGACACAGCTGCAGTAACGTATATTGATTGCATCAGTAAAAGAGGCTCTTAGAAATCAGGATGGGTGTGGGGCAACATTATCAAAGCAAAGTGCTAGTAAACCTCTGTTGCTCAGTGCCTTTCCCTTTAAACTAACGACCCTTACGGTAACTGCCTTTCACTACTTCCGGAAGCTACTGTGGTAATACTACAGTTTGACCCTTCTTTTAAGTTACACTCGGTTTTAAGGTACTTGCAATTTACTTGTTACTTTATACTTATCTACATTTCAGTGGCAAATGTTATATGTTTTGCTCCACTGACAACTTGTTTGACAATTGTAATGCACTGTTATAGACCAGACTAGAAATAACCGTAAATAAAGGAGTTCAGACTGGCCACATCTGGACAAACTACAACAGTGTAATGCTGCTTACTCATTAATGTATCAGTAATAATAATATCATCATAGCATATTTAATGTAGGAATGTATTAGTATTTTTAACAGTGTTACTTTTACTTAAAGTGCCTTTAAAATAGGTTTTTATAATAACAATGTATCAAATGTGAATTCAGTTGAAAGCGGTTGCTCGTGGTGATGAACACACCTTGATCTAAAACCTGAATCGCCTTGAGTTTCATAATAAGTTTTAGCTCATTGTTTGCTGTGGGAAACTTTACTGTTCTGCTTTCCTCACACTGTTTCCATAGCATTGTTTTCGGTTATATTTTTGCTTTCTGTACTCTATCTGCTGAGCAGCACCAAACAGCTAACAGACACAATAAATGCAGTATTTCTCCTATGTGCTTGGAAGGCAGAACTGTATTCAGTTGGTTGCAATCTGCAGTTTCGATACCACTGAATCCTCCACGTTGGAGCTTTATTGTTTTATGGTCAGACTGAGCCACTGCTATCAGCATTGTTTTTAAGTGATATTAATGGGGCAATAGCGCACACATGTGTGGACTGCAAAGAGGATGTGAAACGTGTGGTTAGAGTGTAAAAAAAAATATGTGAAAGTTGTTGGCACCAATAGTAAAACGTTACAGTTCTTCATTCTGCCTGTTACTGTTTATAAATTAAATCAATAAATCTGAGCTGAGCTCAGTAAACCAGTCTAATCTGATACTTAATTTCCTAAAACACTTTTTAGGTAGTATTCATAGAAGAATAATGGAAAAGAAAAGTAGAAGTGTTCACTCTTTGTTGAGGCAGCAGTTGCATTGGGAACATTACACTGGGGAAATGAAAATAATATACGGGAAACAAAACCAGTCAATCATGTATATATAATACATCAAACACTGTAAAGCTAACAGATGGATGAATGTCCATCGTGCTTTCAAGGGGGATGTTGGAGGGCCTTTTAAGCTCAATCCCTATTCACAACATATTAGATTGTGTCACTCCAGTAAAGGTCAAATCTATTTTTATAAATTTAAACCCATACTTATTAACTTGAAAACTAGTTGATTGCAATTAAAAGATAAATAACACACATTTCTCAGTTAAGATTTCTGAAGATGGAAAAAGGATACCCACCACAGGAATCAGCTCCACCATACCCTGGTCCACCTATGAACTATGGGGGTCCAGGGCCTCAGCCAGGGATGTACCCTCAGCCAGGCATGTACCCCCAGCCAGGCACGAACCCCCAGCCAGGGATGTACCCTCAGCCGGGCTTCCCTGCAGGACCTCCACCTGCTGCATACCAGGGAGGTATGTATCTGCCCGGGTTAAAAGATGATACTGTTACTTTGGAGACGTCATTAGTCATTGTGACCTTGATCAGGGTTTTGAGGCCTAACAACAGTATTTCACACCTTTTCTGTGAAAGAAATAACAAATGCACCTTTGTTCTTAAATCATGCTTTGGGTAGGCATGTAAAAAACATAACCATATACAAACACATAACATAAATTATCCACAAAAATGGGGACCTATTATGTTCATGTACAGCTCTATATTCAAAGACCGAGGCTCCACTGGTGTAGTTTGCAAATTCCCTTTTTTAAAAACATCCGTATTTATCTTATACTGGCATGCAAATGAATGGACCCCTGTAACCACCGGTGCCTCACGCTAGTGGTTTAGCTAACAGCAACAAGTAAGGCTAATATATCCACCAGTAAACTCTGGACATAACTGTAAACCACAACATATGTAAATTTCCTTTTTGCATACAAAAACCTGAAACTTAGGGCGTCAGCTCATCCTGTAAAGAAGAAAAAGAGGTTGGAAACACTGCAGGCCAGTCTGGATTCTGTGCTTATTGCTCACAGGGATTACGTTTACATACCTTTACCTTTTTATTTGACACTTTGGTTTCGTTTCATATCAACATCTGACATTGTGACATTATATATATAATATATATATATATATATATATAATATATATAATATAATATATTGACAGAGGAAAAGCATAAAAGGTCCCTTTTAAAAATAAAGTACTATAATAATGCTCTTGCATTTATTTTTTGCAAAAACGTTTATGTTATGAAACATGAATTAAGGAAATATCTGTTTTGTCCTTTCCTGCTTTGGTAAACTGTGTGTTTCATCTGCCAGGTGTTCCTTTTGCTCAGGCTCCTGCTGCACCTGTCGCACAAGGTAAGGCAATGCACCTGTCCCATAACACTGCTTTCCTGTGTAAAACACAACAGAGATACGTGCATTGTTGTACCATTTGTATACACATTAAGACCCCACACATATAGTACATACAACTGTAAACACATATGTGAAATGGATGGCACTGTGTTCCAGTTTGTGAGTGTGTCACAAAGTCAGTGGTTGAAGTCCTCAGTCTCCCACCAAAGTGATCTGAAGAATAGCCCATTTGTGGCCTCTGTGCATAACAAAAAGCTATTGTTCTCTGTTTGTTCTTCTGGTATACAGTCACACTTTGAGTATACAGGGTTTCTATCACAGGTGTATTACTTCTTCACATGGACTACACATATAAAAAATGTATCTCACTAATACAGCTCAAATGCACTGCAGGCAAATTTACATGACTTTCACACTACTCAATAAAAACAACAAAACACTTTAGGTTTAGATGCCTCAGTGGCTCAAATTTCCAGACAGGCACTATAAACAGACTGAAATTGACTCTCCATATCAGATTATAGTTGTTGTACTGTTGGCAGCCTGCCAACTGGTCTGCTGGTCTTGTTGAGTTAGTGCAGTTGGTATGTTTTGTCCTCAAATCTGGTAATGACAGCCAAGTGGAAAGTGTATAACTTCACTCACTTTAAGTTGTCACACATGCTCATATCAATGATTACAAATGAAAGACCAGTTCTGAAGGAAGGCTGTCATTTATTTAAAAAATAAATATGTTTCTGTCTGAAACAGAACATGGGGCCAAACAAAATAGGTGAAAAGAGAAAAATAGGTACATGCAGTTTTCTATTACTTACTATGTGTTTTGCCTGCATTGACCCATTGTTGTTATGTGTGCGCATGGTAACTCAAATCTAGTACTGCACAGACACTATGTGGCCGTGTTGGTAAGCAGGAGGCAAAAGTTGTCAAAAATACGTTCACTTCCATGAAAGGCATTTTAAAAGTGTATTAACACTTAGTTCAGTTGGACTGATCATATTCACAGAACCCCCCTATTTTGGGGGGCTTTTAATGCCTATAGTGACAGCTGTAGAGATAACATGTAGCAAAGGGCCACAGGTCAGAGTTGAACCCATGGCCGCCGCAGCAAGGACTTAGCCTTGATCA